CCCGCGCGCTCATGCTAAAATTATGCAAACACCAATGGGTTCTGATGAATTCTGCCAAATCCAACGATTTCGCGTCACCGCGCGGGGCACCCGCGATGCTCCGGCGACGCGCCGAGGTCGCGAATACCTAGCAACAAAAAAAAAACGGAAGAAAAACTCGCGGGCCATTTCCGCGTGCCGCCGCGCGCGCATGAACAGTCTGACGGATTTGTTCAATTTCCGCGCGCGCGGATTTCCTTTTCAACCTTGTCAATGCCACCGCGATCACCTGCCTCATCGACAGATGGACATCAGCATCGTCGACGATTTTGCCATCATTGGCGCCGTTATCGTTCGTGCCGTCGCCCTCTTGAACATCGTCGTCGCTGGTGCCATCTTCGTCATTGCCGAAGACGTTGCCGACGTCGTCTTGTCACCGCGCACGTCCGAGCATCGTCGACGTGCCCGCCTTCATCGTGGACCCACGGGGACGAACATCCTCAGTGAGGACGTTATCATCGACGTCGTCATCCGCGGTGCCGCCGCCCCCCGCATCATGAGTTTTGCCAGACAAGTTGCAGGTGGGAGGGTGGGGTGTTTGCGCGAGCAGTGGAGATGGCGACTTAAAGATCAGCAGAGTGGATTCTCTCTTATGAAAAGGAATAGACTCTACCCCCCCTTGGAGTTAACGGGTCACCTTTTCGTTTTGCAATTTACATATGAATCTGCCCCAACCAAAATATGAGTTCGCGCGCACTCCTTTATCCAAAATCATAAGTTTTCAGAAACCCCTAGCAGAAAAATGACGAACTGCACACGCGCGCGTCGTCGCGCGCGCATGCCGGAATCCTTCAAACACCTCTAGTTCCGGAATGAGTTCACAATCGAGTTCCCAGAGAACATTCAAAAACACATGAATCCGCAACACTGATTTGCTAAAAAAGCTTACGCGCGCGCTGTTGCACAAACTTCAGATAACCCTAGGTGTTACTAGAATGTCAAAATATACTACCAAACGGGCTTCGCGCGCGCATGTCGAAATCTTTCGAACTCCCTTGCGCGCGGGCCGTCGCTAGGATCCTCTGCAAAAAAACGAGACGAAGTGCACGCGCGTGTCGTCGCGCGCGCATGCCGCAATCCTTCAACAACCAACCATCAGTTTCGGAAGGGTTTCAAAATCGAGCGTCCCAAAAACATGCAAAAAACAAGGTTTCGGAACACGGATGTTCAACAAAAGCGTGCGCACGCGTTCTTGCGTCGTCGGCATCGTCGTCGCCGTCCTCCCTCCTCCCTCGTCGTCGTCGTCGCCGTCGTCGCCGTCGTCGTCGTCATCGTCGCCGTCGTCGTCCTCTGTGTTTCCTCGTGTTCGTCGTCGTCGTCTTCTCTGGCGTCGCGGTCGTTTCCGTCGTCGTTGTCGCCGTGGTCGTCCTTCCTCCTCCTCCTCCCTCGTCGTCGTCGTCGTCGTTGTCGTCCGTCGTCGGCGTCTCGTCGTCGTTCCTCCTATTTCGTCGTCGTCGTCATCGTCGCCGTCGTCGTCTTCCCTCTTCCCTCGTCGTCGTCGTCGGCGCCGCCGTCCTTCCTCCTTCTTCGTCGTTCGCGTCGTCGCCGTCCTCCCTCCTCCCTCGTCGTTGGCGTCATTGTCGCCGTCGTCGTCCTCCCTCTTCTTCGTCGTCGTCGTCGTCGTCTTCGTTGGCGTCGTCGACGTCGGCGTCGTCGTCGTCGTTGGTGTCGGCGTCGTCGACGTCTGCATTGTCGTCGTCGTCGTCGTCGGCGTCGTCGTCGTCGCCGCCGTCGTCGGCGTCGTCGTCGGCGTCGTCGTCGTCGCCGCCGCCGTCGGCGTCGTCGTCGTTATCGGCGTCGTCGGCTTCGCCGTCGTCGTCGTCGTCGTCGTCGGCGTCGTCGTCGTCGTCGGCGTCATCGTCGTCGTCGGTGTCGGCGTCGTCGTCGTCGTCGTCGTCGGTGTCGTCGTCGTCGTCGTCGTCGTACTCGTTGTCGTCGTCGTCGTCGAAGTCGTCGGAAAAGTCGTCGGTGTCGTCGAAGTCGTTGCCGTCGGTGTCGCCGTAGTCCGTCTGGAGAGGTTGTGCAAACCAAGTTGCGGGCGGGTGGGTGGGATGTTTGCAGGAGCACGGGATGTGTCGAATCATGTGTAAAAACCCATTCTCCTTTCTAAAAGGAGAATCGACTCTACCCCCCCCCCGGACTTATCGGTTCCACTTTCGGGTATGTAAATCATATATGATTCTGACCACTCGTCCATCCTAAATATGAAATCGTACCATGCCAGGCAGGCCGGGTTCCCCCCCCTGAGGTTCCCTTGTGCAAAAAAAAAACACTATGCAGTGACATTTCTTGCTCTAACATAACACTTGTTCACGAATCCCTTGCAAAAAATGAGACGAAGTGCACACGCGCGCGTCGTCGCGCGCGCATGCCGAAATCCTTCAGAAACCTTCGGTGCCGGAGGGATTTCGCAATCGAGTTTCCAAAAAACATGCAAAAACACACATGGTTTCGCAACACTGAGTTGCTAAAAAAGTTTCCGCGCGAGCTCTTGCTAAATCTTAACAAAACCATCGGTGTTTCAAGATTTTAACAACATGCTACCAAACGGGCTTCGCGCGCGCTCATGTCGAAATCTGTCGAACGCCCTTTCGCGCGTGCCGTCGCGAGAATTCTCTGCAAAAAAACGGGACGAAGTGCAGACGCGCGCGTCGTCGCGAGCGTATGCCGAAAAACCTTCAAAACCCTTCGGTTTCGGAAGGATTTCAAAATCGCGCGTCCAAAAAACTTACAAAAACCTCAGGTTTCGCAACACGGATTTTCAACATAAGCGTGCGCGCGCGCTCTTGCGTCGTCGTCGTCGTCGTCGTCGCTGTCCTCCCTCCTCCCGCGTCGTCGTCGTCGTCGCCTACGTCGTCCTCTGTCTTTCCTCGTGTTCGTCGTCGGCGTCCTCTTTGGCGTCGTGGTCGTTTCCGTCGTCGTTGTCGCCGTGGTCGTCCTTCCTCCTCCTCCCTTGTCGTCGTCGTCGTCCGTCGTCGGCGTGTCGTCGTCGTCCCTGCTATTTCGTCGCCGTCGTCGTCGTCGTCGTCGTCGTCGTCGTCGTCGTCTTCCCTCCTCCCTCGTCGTTGCCGTCGTCGGCGTCGCCGTCCTTCTTCCTTCTTCGTCGTTCGCGTCGTCGCCGTCCTCCCTCCTTCCTCGTCGTTGTCGTCGTTGTCGCCGTCGTCGTTTTGACGTCGTCGTCGTCTTCGTCGTCGTCGTCGGCGTCGGCGTCGTTGTCGTCTTCGTCGTCGTCGACGTCGGCGTCGTCGTCGTCGCCGTTTTCGTCGTCGTCGTCGTCGGCGTCGTTGACGTCGTCGGCGTCGTCGGTGTCGTCGTTATCGTCGTCGTCGGCGTCGTCATCGTCGTCGTCGTTGTCATCGTCGTCGTCGTCGGCGTCGGTGTCCTCGTCGTCGTGGTCGCTGTCGTCGTCGAAGTCTTTGGGGACGTCGTCGGTGTCGTCGTCGTCGGTGTCGGCGGCGCCGTCGTCGTCGTTGTCGCTGTCGTCGTCGGCGCCGGTGTCGTGGCCAAGTGCCATCGGGTACCGGCCGTCACGGTCTTGTATAACGAGGTCTTGCGACCAAGTTGCGGGTGGGAGGGTGGGATGTTTGCACGAGCAGTGGAGAGGACAGCTTCAAGACGGTCAAGATTAAGTGCACCACATAGACTGCACCACATTGGTTGCACCACATCGATTCACCTTTCTGAAAGACGGATAGACTCTACCCCCCCCACACCACCACCACCACCACCACCGCCACCACCACCACCCCTGGGAGTTAACGGTCCCCCCTGGGGTGCTGCAGTTTCATAATTATTCTGCGCGTTCGCCCATCCTAGCTATGAGTTCGCACTATCCCAGCCAAGCTGGCATCGCATCCCCCCCCGCCCGCCGCCCCTGTCAAATCGTGCTACGCGCGCGCTTCTTCATCCCAAGACAACAAATTTCAACGTCCCCTTTCCCAAGAAAACATTACGCGCGCGCCCATGTCAAAATCGCACCCAAAACGATGCGTTCGCATGCGTTTCAGCACACAAAACCTCTTTCTAAATAAAAAAGAGAGGACCCCCAAAATGGTTTTGCCACGCAAGCGTTGCAAATCTCCTCCTGTCCGCGCGCTCATGCTAAAATCATCGAAAACCATGGAGTCCTTATGAATTCTGCTAAATCCAAAGATTTCACGTCACCGCGCGGAGCACCCGCGATATTCTGGTCATGCGCCGAGGGCGAAAATCCCTCGCAACAAATACCAGGCGGGCCACTTTCGCGCACCGCCGCGCGCGTATGAACAGTCTGACGGATTTGTTCAACTTCCGCGCGCGCGGATTTCCTTTTCAACCTTGTCAATGCCACCGCGATCACTAGCCTCATCGACAGATGGACATCACAATCGTCAGCGTGTTTGCCATCATTGGAGCCGTTATCGTTCGTGCCGTCGCCCTCTTGAACATCGTCGTCGCAGGTGCCATCTTCGTCATTGTCGCAGACGTTGCCGACGTCATCTTGTCACCGCGCACGTCCGAGTATCGTCGATATGCTCACCTTCATCATCGACTCACGGCGACGAGCATCGGCAGTGAGGATGTGACCATCGATGTCGTCATCGGTGGCGCCGCCGTCCCCCGCATCATGAGTTTTGCGAAACAAGTTGCGGGTGGGTGGGTGGGATGTTTGCGCGAGCAGCGGAGATGACGACTTCAAGTTCAGCAGAGTGGATTGCACCACGTAGATTGCACCGCAGAGGCTTCACTGCACGAGACGCTAGAACGCACTGCTCGGGGTCCACGCTGGCCAAGATAAGTCCTGCTATAGGAAATCAGGGGGCGCATCATTCGTCGAGGCCGACGTTGACAAGGTGCCCCACGGCTCTGCGGACCAGTTTCTTTTTTGGTGCGCCCTACAATATCGGCAATGAATGGGCGATCGGGGGTCGCTGCGTCCCCGGTCCGAACCCGTCCCCCCCTGACGTTGCCCCTGAGGCGTCGTGCGTGGCCGCGCCGGTGCTTTGCGCCAGCACGAGGGCCACCGCGTCGGCGGCGGACTCCAGGCGGCGCGACAGCTCGGCGGCCTCGGGGGAACATGACCGCAACTCGCGGGGCCTCCCAGACATGGTCGCGTCATGACAAAAAAAATCAGGTTGTGAGGTTTGTCTTCGTTTTCGGCCCCTGGGGGCCCTTTACTGGGCCCCAGGACCGTCAACAAAACTACTCAGGCTGAAAAGCTGCTCCCGAGGCAAGGGTCGGGACTTTTTTGGACCCCGCATTGAAAATATCACGACATCGCATGTCTGGGCCTCCCAGCCGCACGTGAAAGTGATGCCGGTTCCGCAGCTCGCAGCGCCCCAGGGACGGCGAGGTGGGAGGGCATTTGAGCGGCAGGTGGGAAGGTGGGAGGTAGGAAGCAACAGGAGGGAGACGGAGGGAGGCGGGACGGGAGAAGCAGGATGCAGGAGCGATCCTCTCAAAATCAGAGCCCAACGCAGGGGGGGTAGGAGCAAATTGCACAAGCTCTCTGGACCTCCTCGAACAGAAGCCTCCCCCCTGGGGAGCTCGCACGGGGTGCACCGCGAAGGCCCCCGGGGCGCCAAAGAGAGATCGACCCCACGCAAGCGGCCGCGATCTGTCCAAGGCGAAAGGAGGAGGAAGAGAACCACACACACACATCCTCGCTGCACCCCCTCCCCTCCCCCTCGCCCCTTTGTCCTCCCCGCCAACGCCTTGGGCGGGGGCTGGTCGCGCAGTGATATATATATATATATATATATATATATATATATATATATATATACATACATACATACATATACATACATACATACATACATACATACATACATATACATATACATATTGTATACATGCCTCTATATGGAGAGCCCCACGCGGGCGGCGCGACAGCTCGGCAGCCTCGGGGGCGTAGCCCACGCCGAGGGCACGCAGGCGGCGGCGGTGCTCGCGGACGGCCGCCGCCGCGCGCCCGCAGGGGTGCGAGTACTCCTCGAGGGGCCGCTTCCCGGCCGCGAGAAACATCTCAATCGCGGAACTGGAGGCCTCCCCTTGCCATCGCTCGGACGTTCATTCCGCGTGCGCCTGTCGGTCTTCTCCGTGCTTCTTGTTGCTCGATGATCGAGGATGCGCCTCGACGGTCCTCGCAGAGAGCAGCTGCACGCGTCCGAGCGATGCCAAGTCCCAGGTGGGGCCCGAGAGCGATCTCCAAAAAACACCCCGACGAAACTTGTCCGCGGCCCGCCCGGAGGGTCTGGGCAGAGAGGTCGGGGCGGGCGGCGGCTCTTCCACCCCAGGCTAGAGGCCTCCCAAAGGGTGTCCGAGCAGATGGGGTCGGATGGTCGCGCCGCATCGCCGATGCATCGCCGATGCTTCGGCGACGTCGGCGAGGCATGGCGACTTCGGCGTGGAGAGAATCGAGCTCCACATCGAGCCGCATCGACGATGCACCGGCGATGCGGAGCGATCCTTCGACCCCGTCTACTCTGACCCCATCTGGATGGCCCAAAGGCTGAGGACCTTGTCCCACGAATCCAAGATCAATCTGCATCGAATCGGTAACTCGGATCGAAGAGAAATGTGCATCGGATCGGGCTGCGTCGGCGCGGAATCGAAATCGAATCGGATCGGATCGGCTGCGCCAGGATGAACGGCAGCGCCATGCAAACATCGTTCCGCATCGGATCGTCGGAATATGGGGGTCGAATCGGATCGGGCTGGCCGGATTCGACATCGAATCTGATCGATCGGATCGAAGCTTGTGGCCTATTTTGTCCGGGACCTGGCCCTCTCTAATTAGAGAAGCCAAGCTCCAAGCCAAGCTCCTCGGGTTGGGACTTTCTGGCCGTGCTTGAGGAGAGGCCAGATTCCCTAGGTTACCTAGCTTCGCGCATCGCGCCCTACAATGCGCGACGCGCAATCATCTTCGAGCCCTCGCGCCAACCCCTCAGAGAAGGGCGACTGTTCTGGCCCAGGCCGAGACGCGCGACGCGCAGTATTTTCGCGCCCCCGCGGGTGACCTAGAGCTCTTGGAACGAAGTTGTCAGCGCGGATATCGCGCAGAAAATTGCGGTGCATGCGCGGGGGCAGAGCTAATCCCACCAGCCCTCCATGAAGCGGCAGGCGAAGGGCTGGTGCTAGGCCAGGCAAGCGAGGTGAGGCTTTTGTAAACCGGTGCAGTCATGGTACACAGCGTCTCTCGAGGGGGTGGAAGTTCTACAGAACCCTCAATCTGAATGACCCTGCGACGTACCCATTCGATCTGCACGAAGTGACAATAACAATGAGCAACTGCATTGCGGATGATGGCGATACAGTATGCCCGATTTGGTGTGAAAGCTCAACGGGGGACTCGCGTGTTATACGGCTCACTCGGGTGTAGGACCACATTGGGAAAATGAAGAAGGCGGTGGCGCGAAACCAGATAGGAAACTGGCAGGAAGTGAGAGTAAGCGAGGAAGACGGCAGGAAGCTGGCGACCTGCCCAGCACTTCACAGGAATGGTGATAATTTCGCAATTCGCACACCCCAGGGGCAGCGAGGTCTAATTCAGATCTGAGCGGGGTCCGCATTCCGCTGGGCTCTTCCAGGAACACACACACAATTGTTGACAGTTTCGCAGTTTGCAGCCCCCAGAGACGGCAAGGTCCCATTCACGACCGCACTGTGCTGGACCTTTAAGGAAGCACAGAAGTAACGACGGTTTAGCAGTTCGCAGCCCCCAGCGACATTAAGGTCAAACAACAATCTGGGTATGACCGCACCCCGCTGGGCTTCCCAGCCGCACCCGAAAGTGGTGACAGATTCGCAGCTCGCATGCAAAAGGGACGGCGAGGTAGGAGGGAAGTTGGCGGCAGGCGGGCAGGTAGGCGGGACGAGAGAAGAAGGAGGCAGCAGTGATCTGTTCGAAACGAGAACCCAGCGCTGGAGGGTTGGGAACAAACTGCACAGGCTTCCCGGACCTCCTCGAACCGAGGTCTCCCGTATGGGGAGCTCGCATGGGAAATCACGCGACAAAGCGAAGACCCCTGGGCTCCGTCGAGCGGCCTGACGCTGCCCAGACCGCGTCGTCGACGAAGGGCCACTTGCCGGGAGGCACCCTGACCAGCTTGCCCAGGCCAGGGTGGAACCTGGGCAGCCAAAAAGGTACCGATGCCGCATTTCCCTGCACCTCTCCTGGGATGCGTTCTGGTCAGAATTTCAAGACGAGTCCAGACGTGGCGACGAGGGCATCTCGGGAGGCCAAAACATGCGAAAACGAGGGAGGGGCACAAGCAAACCCGTAGAACAAGGACACACGATGAGAACGCAAGGACCTTGCAAAGCCATGTCGACACTCTGCGAGCGGGGCGCGGCCAGCGAAAGCGGCCAAGGATGGGCCGAAGGGGAAGGATGCAAAGACAACCTTGGAAAGTCGCGCTCATCCTTACTATGCGGGCTGATTGTAACCTATCGCAGGCCCGCGCGGATTCTTGGATCGGCGCTGGAGCCCCCTGGCGCCGCCTCCTGCGCCACCCTTGTGCGCTCCGCGCGCCAGGGAGGGCAGTCCAGCGCCGATCGAAGAAATCCGCGCGGACCCCCGAGAGTGTGTATATGTATATGTGTATATATGTATATATATACATATATATATATATATATGGTCCATGGCTTGGGCCCCCCCCCTCCCCCCCAATGCTGATGCCATTGGCCCGCCCCCCCGCGCGATGGTCCCCCCCCGCCCCCCCCTGTGGGCGTGGCGTGGTGCTGCGCTGCGGTGCCCCCCTCCCCCCCCCTGTGGATGTGGTGTGGTGCTGTGGTGGTTCAGAGGTGGGCGTGGCGTGGTGCTGCGCTGCGGTGCCCCCCTCCCCCCCCCTGTGGATGTGGTGTGGTGCTGTGGTGGTTCAGAGGTCGTCGTCGTCGTCGTCGTCGTCGTCGTCCTCGTCGTCCTCGTCGTCCTCGTCGTCGTCGTCGTCGTCGTCATCGTCGTCGTCGTCATCGTCGTCGTCGCCGTCGTCATCGTCGTCATCGTCGTCGTCGCCGCCGCCGCCGCCGGCGTCGTCGCCGCCGCAGCCGTCGTCGTCGTCGTCGTCGTCGTCGTCGTCGTCGCCGTCGTCGTAGTCGTCGCCGTCGTCGCCGTCGTCGTCGTCGTCGTCGTCGTCGTCGTCGTCGTCGGGACCATACCATCTGGGGGGGGGGGGGCCCGAGGAATCCTGGGACCATACCATCTGGGGGGGGGGGGCCGTGGGCCCGGAGCCCGGGATCATATATGTGTGATCCCGGGTCCAGGATTCACAAGCCCCCCCCTCCCCCCCCAGATGAGATGGGTCCCAGGGTTTCACAAGCCCCCCGCCCTCCCCCCCCCCAGCTGGGATGGGGTGGGTGGGGACGACGACGACGACGATGACGACGACACCGACAACTACGACGACGACGACAACGACGAGGACTGGAGCTGTCAACATGACGCCAATCACAGCCACACGCCACACCCACACCACACCCACAGGGGGGGAGGGGGGGGGAGGAGAACCACGGCGCCACCCCGCACACACCCACAGCAACACACCACACCCACACCACATTTTTTGATTCGCGGGTCGAGAGCGCATCTCTTCCGGTCGAAGCTAAGCGGGCCGCGCGAAGCTTGAATTAAACCCCACACCACATCCACAGGGGTGGAGGGGGGGAGGGACCCATCGGGGGGGAGGGGGGTGGGGCGATTGGCATATACCCATTGGGGGGAGGGGAGAGGGGCCCAGACCCTGGACCATATATATATGCCCTCTTTTTGCTCCCCGAGATAGTGAAGGGGCCCTGGGACACACAAAGAAATACACACAAATAGAAGGATTCCCAATAGTTTCCCATATGTTCTGGGTGTTTGTCTTCCCCCCCACATCCCATATTTTCCCATATTTTCCTTGGAGTGAGGATTAATTGTGTCTGTGTGTTTCTTCCCCTTCTGAGATAGGCAGGACGAATGATGTCGTGAGGGGATTGGCTTGGGATGCGTCCCAGGATGTTCGTGGTGCCTAGCAGCTCCCTCGTGTCGGGGGCCCGTGTGGAACGTCTGGGGATCTGGGAGATCCCGGCAACCTTGGACGTCTTGGAACGCATCACTATCAGAACCTCGGCGATGCATCGGGGACGACGGCGACGCGTCGGCGACGCCGATGTGCAGAAATCAGGCCCCGCATCGGGCCGCATCGCCGATGCATCGACACTGCGGCACGATCGTCCGACCCCATCTGCTCGGACACCATCCGGAAGGCCTGGATTCACTATCATGACCTTTTGCTCCCGCGCCCAACCCGTCCTGAACCACGTTGCTGCCCCAAACGGGCGCCCCGAGGCCGAACGGCGTCCCAAGATGGGAAAGTTGCTGATCCTTACTATGCGGTTTGACTGTAGCGGTATTGGTATTTTGTCCTCCTCCAAGACCGCCGCGCAGGCCTCCCCAACAGGGCGGCCAGCAGCTGCGGCTCCCTGTCCAGGCGCCTCGCCAGCCTGAGGGGCAACGATTGGGGGGGATAGGCACACAGTCAACCCGTATAAATAGGACGCACGATAAAAATGCAAGGCCTTGGAAGGCCATGCCGACACTTTGCGAACGGGGCGCGGCCAGCGAAAGCGGCCAAGGATGGGCAAGAGGGGAAGGATTCAAGGGTAACCTTGGAAAGTCGCGCTCATCCTTACTATCAGGGCTGACTGTATGGCGGAATGCATCGTTCTCGACTGACCGATGCATCGCCAATGTACCGTCGATACATCGTCGATGCAGGCCGCCCCTCGTATCGTTTTCCCTTCGTCGATACACCGCCCTGGGACCAACGATGCATCTTCGACGCGTCGTCGATACATCAACCATTCGAGGTCTATGCATCCCCTCTTATGCCTGTCCTAGAGGAGCAAACAATGGCATAAACATAAACTGTTGGATGTCCGCGCGGATCTTCGATCGGCGCTGGACCCCCCTCCCTGGCGCACGGAGAGCGCCAGGGGCTGCGACGGAGGCGCCGCCAGGGGGGCCCAGCGCCGATCCAAGAAATTTGCGCGGAGCGCCACCAAACGTCCCTGTTCATATCGTTGTTTGCTCTTCGATATAGAGTCAACGCGCCTAGTAAGGACGCGCGCCTTCCTCTAGGATACCCTTGTGTCCTTGCCTCTGAGGCCCGCCCTTGCCATTATCACTGGTCGCCCGCCGCCCTAAAAAACCCAACTTCGGCCTCCAAGGGTCTTGCGTCCTTATCACCCGTCCTTACTATACGTTTTCACTGATACCCCCAACTGTCGCCCCCGACCTGAGCAGCTGCCTGTAAGGCTGGAGCTCCCCGGGCAT